GTATGAAAAATATGGATCCCCATCATGACCTCCCCATCCACTTTCTTGCAGGTAGAACATGGCAGCGCATGGATCAACATGTACCACCACCCTGACAAGTGCATAATCCACCCCTGCTCCAAATGCCTAAGTGCAACACAGCCAGCGGTGCCCAGGTTCTTTGCCCTTTCACCATGCATCCACAATGTCAGCTTTTAGCACATTGTTCATCACTGGATCACCTTGAACCATCTCTGCATGGTAGGATGCAAGACCAAGCTTAGCAGCAAAGGCCTTGAGCTTCATGATAGAGGAAAAATAAATTAGGCCGTGAGACTTCTCATCCACGTGAGACTTCTCATCCAGAGAATGAGTTCTGCAGATGCATATCAGTTCTGCAACCATGTTCGGATTGAGTTGGAAAGAATCTGTCTGCGGTTTTGCCGGTGGAAGTGTGGGCTTCACATATCTTACCCGGTAGTGTACATTTGTGCATTCCATGCACACGTGAATGACGTGAACATGAGCGAGGTCAATGCCTAACCTCTCACAAATGAGGATTTTCGATTGCGGAAAAATAGTCACAGAGAGGATGGTGATAGGTTTGCACAGGTGCATCAGGTTCGAGAGAAGATCCATGCATTGATGGAACTTTTGATGGGCATACAGAAGGTGGCCTTCATCCATGAATATTCACTTCAGTCGATACTTGTATGACTCTGCCCAGACGGAAAAATCATTCCTGACTGCCACGTCGATGGATACCAGCACAATCTGCATCTGAGAGCCATCCAGGTGAGCATTCCAGAGGTCTCCTGCTAAATGAGTCTGTCCCAGCTGACACTTGAGGTCATTGGTGAGGGCGATGAGAGGACTAATGACAATATACAGATGGTCAGGAGACTGCATTGCAGCACCAAAAAATGTGAGACTCTTTCCACTGCCAGTCGGTAGAATAGCCAAGACATGTTTCGATCCCAATGACGACTGCACGAGCTCCGCCTGCTCAGAAATGGTCCATAGAAGTGTCTGAGAACTGGGAAGGATAGACAACAGTGTCTGAGATAGACCCTCGTGCACGACAAGTGGCCGTGAGCGATTCATGTGTGATTGAATGACCTGCATTTGAGAAGTGGATTGCAGAGAAGGATGGAGCTCTTTCAGCAGATGCACCAATATCCCTGCAATTCTCCTATCCATAATATCTGT